TCATAATGCATTGAAATGTCAAAGATTGATATGCATGGTAATTGATTTCATATCGTCATGCTGCATTTAGACAATTATGAACATTGCTAATCTAATGTTTCAAGGTACTTATAAACAATTAGTGATTCTGCACTAGCATCTCAAAGACACTTTTAATGATAATAATTTACTGAGATAAGTTCTATAAATCCTAAATAGGGCTGTATGTAAATGATATTTTGGGGAAAAAATCTATTTTTTTTTTCCAATGAAATGATTAAAGTTTGAAAATAATGACATGAGGATTTTGGTTGTGAACACACAAAAATTCAGCACAACTAACAGGAACCATATATTGTTTTATAATAATATACTTGTTTAAAGTAAAAGAATATGACATCCATCATACTGACTTTATTGACCTTCTGTTACTACTAATGACTGACTTGACTGTGCAACCTTTACAGTTGCCAGTGCTTTCTCTTATATCAGAAGATTATTAATGATCAGTTATTCAGAATCAAATGGAGGTGTGTGATTGGGCATCCATACTTTCACAAATATCTATATGCCTCAGAAATACTGACTTCCTGATGCTTTTTTGTGCATATACACAAAATCAATTATCTGTGGAGAAAACTTGACTGGGTGGAAGGAAATTAAATTGGTTTTTAAAGACTTCCTTAAACAGCAGTAGCTAGGGAAAGGTCCAGTAGCTTTTTAACTCAGGATTGTAATGATTTTGCAATATTAATAAATCATGCTTTATCTTGACTTTTATAACAAGAACTTGGATGGAAAAGACTGTACTGTACATGACAAAAGAAGAAAGAAGAGCACTTTCAGCTGAAGCTTTGCATGTGGCAGGTGTCTGTGGAACTCTGGAAGCCCTGTTGGAGTAAGTCAGGTAGGTCCTAATTCACTCACAGAACAGGACACAGGCTAATATATGTCTATTAAGAAAAACTCACAATTTGTAATTCTTGAAGGAAATATTCATGTTCTGGAATATCCTGTGATGTTTGTAAATGCTATACCAAATAAATGTAGGGAAATCTTTACCAACTTTTCTGCCTTGTACCTTGCTGGGAGTTTCCCAACTTCTACAACATGCTTTTGTATTGAATATCAACTCCCATGAATCAGATTGAAGTTAATTTTTTTTCATTGTACTGACACTACCTAAGAGGACATTTATAGAAAGATAGAAAACATTTTGTTTCATTTACACATGCAACAACACAAGTATTTTCCCTTTGTTACTATCAAAATACTAACATGTAGTTCCCTGTGTGTATATGCTCAGAATTGACTTCCAGTAGTTATAAAATAAGAGGCAAAAAATTCTACCATTGCCTTAAAATACCTGATTTCACTAAGTTTTTCTGAAACTACACTAATTTAAACCATGTATCAGGAAGACTTTATAAAGCATATATTTATTTGCTTCAGTGAGGGGATTATTAGGGAAAGGGAATACTTTTCCTTCTATTAATTATCAAATGGCTACACTATGAAACATTGCAGCATTTGAATGGTGTAAAGTAACCCGTACTGTTTTCCATTTAATTTGCACTGATTCCTCAAAACAGAAGTAGTATTTTCACTTACAGGATTAACCTAAGTAGTATTTACCTGATTTTGAGTCTTAAATATTGGAAAGTTTTATATTATGTACTTCAAGATGTTTTCTAATCAGCCAAGGTGCATGATGAAACTTTATAAGATTTCAGGTTTAAATTAATCATGGTAATACTTTAATGTCCTACAGAAAATTAATCTCTTAAGAATGTAAAGTTCTGTGGAATAAATCACCAGGGACTTTCTTTTTAGTACTAAATACCCACCATGTAAAACAGGGTCTCAAAAGTTGTTTGTAGTTTGCATTATTTTCTTTTAATTGGAAATACTCTGGTAATGCAGCCATTAATTTCCAACTTGTGGCCATCAGAAATCTTGATTCCACCTGAGATTTCACTCCACACCGGAATTTCCTGTCTAATCTCACACCAACCAACTGGGATAAGACAACGACTTTTAATTAGAATTTTAATATGTAATCCAAGCCTTTTATAGATTATGCACAGAGGTGATCTTCTATGTGTTTAATAACTGTGTGGAGAACTCAGATAATGTTTAATTTGGTAGAGAGACTATTTTTAACTTTGCTGGAGTTGGGTTACCTGCAACATTCCCAGCAAGTCTCTTAGAAGTTAAAGCAGCGTGAGGTTTATTGTGTGAATGAGTAACTGAATGTGTCTGTAGCAAGTCCTGGGGAGAAATTATAAGAAAATTGGAATATTTTGTAATATAAAGAAGAGATTCTATGTCCCTTTCACATTTCTTCTGGGAAACCCATTTTCATGTCTTTTATATCAAGCTATGTGGAAGAAAAGAGATAAACACCCTGAAGAATGCCAGGGGGGTGAGCTTACCCCTCGCTACTGTTAGTGGTGCCCCTCACCTCATGTGTTCATCTCTAAAAACCCAGCACATGAAACACTTTTTTTTTTCCTTTCAAGAAACAATTGGCACTTTACCTTGGACTTCTGCTTGACATGAATTATTTGGCAAATGGTGGATAGAAGTGTGAATGATAAACTTAGAGCTGTGTAATAGACTTCAGGGATATTCTAGGGACAAAGACATGCAAGTAGGGAGGTAACAAAAATACCATTGAATAAAATGACCTTTCCCCTTACTTGTGAAACAAAACAAATGTGTACCTTACACGAATACTGATACCCGTTTACACACTGCGTACACACAAACACTGCAAGAGTATATCCTCTGCTTTAATTTACATATGCACGTAACTCTCATTAATGTTGATAACTCTCTGCACATGCCTGCAGAAAATAATGGACCCCAACTGTGAGAGCTGTCTGTATTCAAACATGTTAAGAGCTGAATATTTAAAATCTGTTGGCACACCAAGCTCAGTTTTCTGGAGACAACAGAAGTTGAATAGCAAGATCAAAAGAAAAAAAAAAAAAAACATAAAAGATAATGACATCTGGATGGGGTCTGGGTAATGCTCTAATTAAATGTACTTACACCTAAGTCTTCTCACATGTTTAGGAGCCAGCGCTTAGATGCCCCTTTTCGACTACAGCATTAGAGGAGGTCACGGGGCCTCGCATAGGGCTGTCACCTCTGCTGTGATCCAGCTCTGTTCTCTGCATGTACCTATAATCTATCCTACTTTCTTTCACTGGATGCATTTCTGCTATTTTGCTATTAACATAGTTATGATCAGTGAGTTTAAAAACTCCTTTGACAAAGATAGGCATATTCTTTAAAACGGATTGGAAAAACATCAGTTTATACTACTTAGAAGAATCAGACTTCAAGATTCTCTTGTTTTTGTTACTTGCTCATAGGCTAAGCTGAGCTAGAAAGAAGCCTGGTATACATTTCTCCCTTCTCAGGTGAATTCTTTTCACATGCTCTCCCTTTTCAGCACAGCAGAACTTCCTCCGGAGTACAAACCACAAGGCAGACTCTTCAGAAGTCACTGAGTCAAGGAATTTTAACTTTTACAAGAGTTTCTAAAGCTTTTATTAATTGCTTAGAGTTCCAGTTCAATTAGCATGACTGGAAATGGTTTCAGAATGCTGGGATTTAGGACAAGGGAGAGTGTGAAAGGGAAAAAAAGTATATTTTCTAGATTTTTCTTCCCTTTTTCTTTCATGGAGTCTCGAAATATCACAATGTGATCTCTTATTAGGTTTTTATATTTTTACAAATATAAGTAAAATAAACCCTACCTACTAGAAGAAGCTGCTGAGTCGTCGGCAGATACATATTGCGTATCTCATTAACATTAACAGCCACGCACAGTTAAGCCTTCCTCTACTGCGTTGAGTATTTACCCTCTGGCTTTGTAAAATGATGCTTGAATGTGGGTTTTACAAAGGAATTTCATAACCATTTTGTAGACTCTGCAGCACACCTCCCATGTCTGAATATGCACAGTGATGGGTAGATGGCCACAATTAATGAAGTTGACGTGTATTCTCAGGAAAAATTCCAAAGCATATTGCTTTGGAATATGCTTTTGGGGGAGTCTAAGTCCATCTCTTGTTTTAGCTCAATGATCAGCTACTTTTTCTTTTTCTTTGGCTTGCTTTTTTTGTTTGTTTCTTTTGTTTTTCTCTTGCCTGTCTTTTAATAGTGCTCAACAATCCAATGCAAGGCAGTTTGCCTTCTTTCACTGCTTAGAAGAAAATTATTAAATGAACACATAACGGTGGAGTTAGAAACCCACTGTAATCTAGAAAGGTCCAGGAATTTAGAGAGTGTACCCTCTGGATCTCAGGAACCATCTGGGAGAGTAGAGAACAAGTTTATTTTTCTCTGAGCTCCCTTTATTTTGTTCTGACAGGTATCAACTAGACCCTGGTGATGCTTTGGGAAAAGGGTGATGTTTTGGGTGGGTGCTTGAGAAAGCAGTGTGGTCTAGAAAGCGAGAGATTTAAAAAAAAATCCTGAAGACTCCAGCCCTTAGGAAAATAGAGGTCTACCAGGGTAGCTTTTTGTGTAGACTGTTCTAAGAGCCACACCCCTATGCAGAGAGTTGGCATCCTTTGGCTTAGGTATCCCTGTTCATTTTCTGGAGTATATGTATTTACATTCATGGTGCTTTTAATAACCCCAGTTTCAGCCTTCCTTTTCAAATTGGCTGTGCTGTTCATCTTGGATTTCAAGGTTTTCTTTTATGAGCTAAATTCTGCCCATGTAATCTCATTCTTCATTTCTTCCCAGAAAAATAAGATATTTGCATCAAATTCGGCATTTCAATAACAGTAGCGAAAAGCCCCTTTTTGTAAAAGATACAGGATTAGTTCCTGCTGTGAGCTCATCTGCATCATCTCCATTTATTTCTCTGGGTGGTGAGAAGACCTTTGCATTTGACCAAAATGCACTAGTAAATAAGGAGTTAAAATGAAGGCAGGCTCACTGGTTTGCTGAGATCTGTCAGAGTCTGACTGGCTGGCTACATATCTGTCTCTGGAACAATAGGTACCTGTATTCTGCACGGACTGCTGGGCAGCACTGACACTCTGGAGGAGACCTGCCTCTGTCTGCGCTTTCCTGGTGAGAATCCCCAATGACAGCTCCACTTTTCAGTGGAGGAGAAAAAAATATCTGTCTGCTCTCTTGATGAAGGACAGAGCTTTGATCATTTTTATTCAGGCTTGACTTGGCCGGAGGTTTTAGGTTCTTAGTCTCAAGTCAGCAGTCTCTCTCTCTTTCTCTCTCTCTCTCTCTCTCTCTCTCTCTCACACACACACACACACACACACACACATACACACACTCACAAGTGCAAACGCGCGCACGCACACACATCCACTCCCTCCCTCTCTCTCTTATTCGCTCGCTCTCATTTCCCCTCGTAGGTTCTGTGTAGGCAGATGCATGCTACAGCTGGAACTGAGGCACAGAGCAATAAACACAGTGGAGCCACTTTCCACGATGGCAGGAGGAGGACCAGAGGTGACAACAATACCAAGGACCCGAGGACCATCCTCCTGACAAGTTTTTGGTAAGAACATATTTATGCCCCGATGCTTGTATTTTTGCATCCTCGTGGTTAAGAGATGTGAGACGAGTCTGGAGAGGGAAATATTTTCGCGAGGGAATCATCTGTGCTGTCACTTGCCTGCAAACCTGCATTCTCGGGGCTTTGTGTTACTAGAATTATCGGAGGGGGTGAGGTGTGAGCCGGGCTGGGCAGAAGGTTGAGATGCTTTATTATGTCTGTCTGGTGACATTTATCATGCTGTTTAAATTCAAATCTGGAAAAAAATTCTGTTTGGTGATAGCAATGTTTTGTGCCGTGTAGAGCATATGGCTGTGTAGAATTCAAGGGATGCTCTTTCAGTCTTAATTTGTAAATTATTTTTACACTCAACTGTTCTGAGGTCAGAGTTTTAAAAATTAATGAGATTCCCCGTGGAGTTCAAATAGTAATGTCTACGTGAGCTGCTGCCAAAAGATATGGTTAAGCTAGAATATTTAAAATATATGTTTAACTCTTATTTTGAACATACTCCACGTGAATATGTGAATTGTGCACTAATGCCTAAGTATTTGGGAATATTGGACCTTAGATATTTTCAATGACCAGGAGAGATTGTGTCAAAATTGAACTGTAGAAGGTGATGCTTTATGTGGAGATATTGCTAAAACTTATTAGACATTCTTGTTATGACCATGAAGAATACCTTATACTTTCGAGGAAATGGCAAATAATGAATGAGCCACATGCTTTTCAAAAATCTGCAAATGTGCTTTTATCTTCATCTATAAAAAATAATAAGTAGAAATTCAGGAGCTGTTTAGGGTAAAACACTGCTGGCGTGAACAAAGAAGCAAATGTACACATAGATGAGAATTCTTTGTCACAAAAATGAGTCCAGGGCATGGATTTAGGAGGTTAAGTGATTTCTACATTCTCGGTGCACCACAAAAGGTTTGAATCCAGACATTTAAAAATGTACTGAAAACTTTCATTTCCCACAATTTAAAAACATTGTTTATGTTCCTGATACAACACATTGTTTAAATGAGGGGGATTGAAAAGCAGTTTGAGTATACAGTAATCGGGGCTAAAGATGCTTTTTATTCTGAGTTCCCCATTTACAAAACCCATTCTGAGCTTCCTGGGATATATTGTTATGTAAATACTGTGCAGCCAGGGAAGCAGTACTATGGAGATTCAATTTACTTTGAAAGTTGTTCATTATAGCAGGGATGAATGTTATTTATTTGATGTGATTCAGAGGCTGGAAATGACTTTTTCATTGTGGCGCCTTTTGTAATGGGTGCAGGGTGATCTAATCTTTTTAATTTTGGCTTTCACACCAGTGGAGATGAAAAGAGATCTGAACTCATTTATCGGTTGCTAGGTCCTTCTGGAGACCCAAGTCCTGTTCTTGGTTGCTATGGCCAGACTGACCTCAATCTCTGTGGTTTTGGGGGACTTAAGCAATCTTTTTTTTTTTTTTATTGAGGAGCATGTACCTTGATTTATGTCCAAAATTGTGGCTGAATGTCTTTGTCTACAAGTGATAAATGGTGTCGAACAATTCATCAGTCCTTACAAGTAAACACCGCTGTCCCACTAAAAATATGTTTTGTTCTGAGTTAATGGTATGGAACAAGGCAGCCTCCACAAACAGCTATCTTTTATTGTGGAGGGGGGCCTCTGAAACTTGGAGCAAAGTGGAGGAAATTGGCATTTTTTTTTTACACATTATCATTTCATTTGTTGTTCGTGTGATGCTACTTTAGGTGGATTGAGGGAAAAGGGGTAAACCTCCCATTTCCTTACTTTCTAGTTAGGGCTGCATGTGAAACAGGCTCTCACAGATTGCCTGAATTCTGCTGGGTCCCCTCAAAAGTCAGGAGGAGTTTCTCGATGGGATTGGCCTCCGCTTGCTTCGGAACTGCCAAGTGCTAAGGCACACGCAGGCAGATGTGCTGCAGCTCTGTCGCTTTCCGTCTCTTGCTGGTTCTTGGAGGGAAAGTTGTATCCAATATTGGTGACTCCCAGGAATGTCTGCTTGTGTGCTATTTAATGGTCCCTGGACGTCCTTGCATTCTAGAACCTCGTTAGACAGGAGCCCCTTGATTAAGAGGCTGGGGAATATACAGCCGTACTTAGCAGATGAGCCCTCATACAATCCCCCTTCCCTTAAAAACTGCTTAATTGATGCTGCAGGGAGCATACACTCTGCTGATAAGATGATGAAGACAAAATAGGTAGCAGGAAGGCATTTATTGCTTATAAGCGCCATCAGTTTCCTTCCGAGAGAAATTGCAGCTTTGTAGTTTAGTGTTTTCTTTTAATAGTAATATGCTAATGCTTTTATTCTAAATCGGCCAGCACTGACTATCTGCAGGAAAAATGGGTTCCATAAGAAGTGGCATTCTCCTCCAATTCCAAGGTAAAAAATTAAACATTTTTTAAAGTGTCATGTTTCAAATCATTTCATGTCCTTCTTGCCAGAAGCATTAGAAACCTGCTTTTTCAATAAAACTATTGAAAATTTAAACTCTGTTTTTAATAGAAAAGGTTAAAAGATGGGAATGTTTTAGGGAATTTTATTGTTACTCATTTTCTAAAGGTTGCCTAGCTTTTGTTTAAAAAAAATACCATCAGTTACTTCGTGTGTTATCTTTCGGCCCTGGATTATTATTTTTTTAGAGAAAATTATTGTTTGCAGTTCAATTAAAATGATCTTTGTCTATTTTTATGTAGATTTTATTCCTAGAACTGGTAAATAAGAACCATTATTAGGTGATGTGGAAGGTCCCTTCCAGCTTGAAAATCTTCAAAGAGGACTAGTTTCCTAAAAGGACGCATAAGAAGCCTTTACTGGTATAATTGCACTTATTCAGCTAATGTTTAGTTCTCTTTAGTTGAGCGGCAGTTAAAAGTTCCGTGCTCTGTTGTACAGGTAATAATTGTAGCTGGAAGTGATTTCCCAAAAATTAATATTTGAAGGTATTTTCTTTAAGCTGCTACTTTAGCATTTTATTAAAATTGGGGTTTTGCAAAACTCAATTGTGGCTCCTTACCTTGGGTTTCTTACTTCAGGGTTTCTTGAAAGTAATACTTTACATGAGTGGTTAATTTCACAAGAACTATTTAATTCTAGGTATCTGACGGCCAGTATCTCCTGATATGTGGTATGTATCTATGTATGTATATGAACATATTTTATTATGTCTTATAAATTTCATATAATGTTTTGCTTTGCTATTATTTCAGAAGATTTAAGTGAATGTTGGATAGTGCTCAATTTCCTGAAATGATTAAATTCAGTCTCTGAAGAATCTGGGGGAAGGACTGTAATGACATTTTGATGACTTTCATTTTAAGGTGTAATAGAAATTGAGTAAAATATTTTAATAGCTATTCTCTAATATCTCATTTCAAATACAATGTTTTTATTGCTCATTCTAGCTTACAATCTTCTGATGATAATAATGTTGCTGGTAATTGTTTCTTACATAGAAATCATTTTATCCTTATGTAAAAGTTGTTTCAGAAAAGTCTTCATGCATTTATCTCAGCTGAAGCAATTGCATTGAACTCCTGAGATAAAGCATTATTTCTGGATTCTTCCTATTTTAATTTGGTACCTCCTTACAGAATTAGGTATACATCCTAAAGGCAGGAATATTACATATGATAGTCTACAGCTTAAAGAGAAAAAACAAAGAGGCATGCAAGATAGGAAAAGACAGAAAACACAAGGAATAAATACTGTTATCACAAAATTGACTTTGCTTCCAGACACCATGTATTGCTTAAAATTTAAAAATGAACTAAGAAATAAAATATATGTATGTAAATATGCAGTTGTGATATCTATCTTTATTGAACAGGTCAAGGCTGATATATAAACTTAACAGGATTGCATCTAATGTTACTACGAACGTCTGCACTTCAATTCTTTCGGGAGATGTAGACACAAGTAAAGTTAATCACATAGCTTTTAAAGAATCAAATCTTTTGAGAGCTGGAGTTGTGACATATTAGATCAATTTTCATGTAAGTCAAAATGAAATCCTTAAATCAGTTTTTCTGTGCAAGTTACACAAAGCCATTAGCTTCTAAACTGAGTTATTCTAATCGCTAATTAGAAAAAAAATTAGGCAATTTAACTTGATTGTAGTGAATATTAAAAGTCAGATTATGATATTATTGCTGAATTAATGCACCATCAGTACAATTCTTTATAAAAGTAAAATTAAGCTCTAGTGTCTGATTATTCGCTTTCTCTAATACATCTCCTGAATTTCCCCAAGTTTGCTTTCTTTTTGTAATGAATATTTCTTCCCAAATGCTGTGTTGCAAAGCAGTTGGTTACCCTTAGTTTCTTCCTGCCCACTGTAATTCTGGTTTTTGTCTTTTGGAATGCCATTAATTTTAGCTGTCACCTAGAAGTTGTATTGACTTTGAAGCAATTTTTCTGACCTATTTGAATTGGGGGTGGGAGTGGGTGCCTAAAACTTGTTTTATTAGAAATTGTGTATAAACTGCTGAACAGTTTGAGTTGGCTTTGTGATGTTGATATTAGGGGTTTGATATTTGGATATAGGATTTTCCCAGTAGTTGCAAGTAAATTGCATAATTCAATAAAAATTTTACTTATTTTTCACAAAATTGTTTGTCAAGTGACAAACTGGGCATCATCTAGAAAAATCATTAGAGAAAAGAAATGGGCAGGGCAGGGCTCTCTTAGATTGCTAGTGAGGGTGCTGCCCTCTAAGTTGGGGTGCTGTTGTAACCTGTGGATAAAATACATGATTAAGTTCTATCTACTGGCATTTTGTATCCCTTCACCTCTGTAATCCAACAGTAGGTATGTTCAAATTATACCAGAAAGGTATAATATAAGTTATACTAAAGAGCTTCATTAGCTATTCTAGCACTCACAATAATTCATGGAAACATTTGAGAATTTGTCCCATTTGACAATGTGAAAATTGTAGTTTGCTTACTGGTATTTATAATTTTTTTACCAAAAGATGTCCTGTACAGACACATATTGACCTGGAGTTTAAAGTTGCTAGACTTTCTAATATGACACCATATAGTGAACAGAACCTTTTTATATCCTTAGTAATAACTCTAAGCCATAATTTGCGTTCTTAATGCTACTTGGCTTTATTTAAGCACGAAATACTTATGATTCATAAATCTTTGAATTTCCTGTGTTTTTCTGACAATGGAGTTCACAGTCCAAATGCAAAGACTAAAACATACCATAAGGCTAAGCATTTCTTTAGAGAAAGACAGTGGTCAGGAACAGGTGGTGTGTAGTTAATTATCACAATCGTGAGGATTTTTAACCTTGTTTACAACAAACATCTTTGAGAATATTGGCTTTTCAGAAAATATTTGAAGAATTGGATGTGCTAGAAATGTGAAACATGGAAATGAAACAAATTATTATTAAAATGTCCTCCCATATGGTTTAGAAAGAGACATCATTCTTTTGGCTATAACTTAATGCCCTATTTTATACATTATATGAGTCTGAGCAGTTCTTCATATATCATCAACTAATCTCCATATAATCCATATGATTTTGGAACTTGTATTCCTAAGTCTATTCTTTAAATGGCTTAAACTATAAGCATATATGTTAATTTAGAAGAATATATTTGTAAAGATTCAGAAGGTGTTTTAAGAAATTTTCTTATTGATACATATTTAGAAGTGTTATCAAAAAGCATCTCTTTCCCCTCACTATTCACCCCCACTGTCCACAGACACTGAATTGTTCTTATTGTTTTTACACTTCTTGCCACTGTTTCTTATACTATTTTGAGTGACCCCTAATTCTAATGATTAATGACTAACATAATTTCCATATGTCTGTCAATGTGTTTTTTTGATTTATTCCTTTCAATTATGGGAAAGATAAAGTGACTCTCCCTGCTTATAAATGAGGAACTGAAGATTTTAGAAGTTACGTTATACCCTAAAGGTCACCGAGTTAAGAAGCACCTGAGAAGACTTGAAATTCAGGTCCCTCAGACTCTATTCATTCTTCTACTCATTCAACAAATGTTATTGAGCCTCTATGATGTCCCAAGATCTTTTGAAAAAACAGTCGATCTAGCAGGCAAGTCTCTGCCTCTAGAATAGGAGCATGTGGACTTTGACTGTGTTACTACGTTTTGCATCCGTGGATTACCAAAAGCCATTAGGATAAAATTTAACAATGTCAAACTTCCTTTAGATTTCTCATCATTTGTCATCAGTCTTTCTAACTATTTCTAAAGAGGAATTTTCTACACTGGTAGGCTGATCTGTTCATTACCCCAGCCAAGTTTGATTGACATTTTCTCTGATCATTCTTGCACCTGAAATGCTTTTGTCACTGCCTCAATGCCTCCAATCCTGTAAACTCTGGGTCCAAGTTCATGGCTTCCATGAAGACTGTCGTAGAAATGAAATCCTAAAATTCTGTGTCTTTATTGATCACTTGACATGTGACACTGCAACAGGTAAAATGATTTGAAGCTAGGTAACATTTCACATATTTCTGGGTGCATGTTTGTACCTGTGCCCAACTAACATATTGGTAAAGAATTCCCAGCAGTAAATGAAGAGAAGAAAGTGAAAAAATTCGTACTGGAAGACTTGGAAGCCAGTGTCTTACTGCCTTGTACAATGCCTGCCAGAGTGTATGTACTTCATATTAGATATTTGTTTGAGTCTGGGGAGAGGAAAGCAGAGATATGAAGGAGGATAGCAGGGAAGAGAAAATAATATACCTAAATTTATAGCCCAGAGCCTTTGAATATCTTTAAATATTTATATTAGGGTCAGAGATTCTATTAAATAGTGCAGAGATAAATACAATCTTTACTTTCAAATGTAATTTTGCTTCTTACTGGAATCAATTGTTGCCCTTATCAACATGAATACATTAGATGCAGAATCAACTTTCTTGTGTTTCTACAAGAAAGTGTAGTTGTGTTACGTTTGTATGTGTTTGTCATCACTGTTCAGGCCCACAGGACAGCTGACTCTTGAGTTGGTTTTATTGACATAAGCTATAGAAGATCATTTCTCTATTTCCTGGGACATTTTTCAGTGTCATAGAAGTTGCTGATCACCCCCCCCCCAGAAGAGCCATCCCCTTAATCATCATAAAACCTTATTAGTTTATACTTCATGTTGGATTTTTTTTCAATGAAAGTTGAATTCAACATTCAAAATCCTAGTACAAATAGTCTCTATCAACAAGCAGCTCTTGTGGTTAATTTTATTTATGTTTTTATTCAACAGTATTCAAAAGTATAGCCTTGAAATCTCAAGAGAAGCATATGTCTATATTTTTATGGGCTCTCAAACCAAGTGCTTAAGGCAGACATGTTATTTCATAGTACAATCTAGGTGGATATTTCAAAGCAACTACTGCATCTCACCTCTGCTATGGAGCAATTTTACTGACTGTAAACACCATGACTTATCTATATGTAGATGTGAATATAGGTTTGCTTCAAGGAGTATTACTGATACATAATGTCTTTGTAACATGTACTAATTTACTGGAAATTAGTACAAACTAGAAAGGTTGTGTCTTGAACTCCTGAACTTGATAGCCTGGGTGTACCCTATAATCTGTAGGGGAGTAGTCTGCTTAAGCAACCCCATTCTTAAAAGTCCCTACCTCCCATTTGAGAAAAGTGACAGTGAAGCTTTGGCCAGGAGGCTTTGGTCTCTATCATGCTTTTAAGAAACAAGGAATATTTCTACAGTCTGTATTGTAACAGGAACAGTTGAGCAGCCCATGAGAGTTGCAAAAATGAAACTGTGCTCCAAATCGCCAAATACTTATCACATGCTGTGTTGATGTTGGTAAAATGCAGAGGATGAGCTTCTCTCCCCTTTAACCCTAACTTTCTATGGTTCTTTCATTTTGACACTAATTTCAGGCAAGAACCTTGGCACTCAGCTGCAGTGTGTAATTGTTGGTATCTCGCTGCCACCTGGGTACACAATGGAGAACAATATTTAGCCCCTGTGATTGCCATAAGAACACACCACATGCAGTTGCAAAGGGAAATATTTAATCAGTCAGTTTTCTCAATGCAGTCCCAATCAATTGAGCTGGTTGAAGATTTTATTTCTTCTGAATTAACTGGTTTTGTCATTATGAAGA